GAGGTATCCAAACAAACCTACCAAAACCCTAATTATATGGTACCATGAACCACGAACAATAGTTATTCCATACGGATACCACTAACAATAGCTGTCGGCCACACGTGCAATTTCTTTTGCCACTGCTATCATATGCTCAATATTAAATAGTGGTTCCCAAGTAAATATTGTGAGGATCCGTAATTTTCTTAATTTCTAGGTTTTATTTTCTTTTAATTGCACGTTTTTTCACATTTTCTTTATTCAAAAATTTTAAAAATAAATTTTATGAGTAAATATAGTTTTAAAATGATTGTTCTAGTATCGGTTAGTTTTTGAGAAATTAAGAGTGTATACGGGACGTGGGACCCGCTAGTGCGGAAAGTTCGGTAAAATTCGGCCAATTTGGTTAAGTGTTGGATACCAGGTTTATTTTAGCAGGTGTTAAGAGATAATTAGAAGTTACCTAGATGGATTATTATTGGAGAGACAAAAGGATAGAGATGTATTAAATAAAGTGACAAGTGTCACTTGAAGATTCATTCTTACCTTTTGACCTTTTGGACCACTATTCATAACTTTACCATTTAAACTAAAAATTGACCAAAATTACTTCAATTTTGCAAGCTTCTTGGCCGACTCTTATCAAACAAAAAGGAAAGAAAAGCTCTCAATTTTCTAGTCTCCAATCTTGCCCAATCTTTCAATTCAACCGTTTAATCTTCAAATTTTCCCATAAAACCTCTTAGTTTGGCGATATTAAGGTTGGTTGTGAAGTTGTTTGGAAGGTTAAGGTGATTAGTTGTTCTCTCTCTTGTATTACTAAGGTGAGTAGTGAAGGACCCCTCTCCTCCATCTAATAATGTTTAATTCATGATTTGTGGTAGTCTAAGAGGGAATTTTGTGGATTATATATTGATTTTGGTTGAATTTGCTGAAGTTTTATAATTATTGAAGATTTTTCTGTTTTAATATGGTTGTTATGGTGTGGCTATGTATGATGATTGGAAATGATCTAGAATGAAGCTAGAAGGTGTATGTGGTGGTTAATTGCAAGAAATTTCTGCTTTGGAAAGAAATTTGGAAAGTTAGGGTTTCATGTTCTTACATTCTGCCCGGCACTGTACCTCATAGTTAGGGGCCGAATTGGCCTTGGGTTAAAACATGAAAGTTGTAGGGAATGATATTTTAGAGAAGCCTACAAAATTTCAGGTCAATCGGAGCAACGTAGCTTGAGAAAAGACTAAAATACCCCTGCTGCCCTGGTTCTACCTGAATTTGATAATTGCGTCTGTAATTGGTTAATTTGGTTGGGAATGCTTTTGATTTGGTTGTTGGTGCCTTCTGATGAATTGTATCCTTGTATCTTAGCTTTCGGATGGCTTTGGAATCACTTGATTTGGACTTAGATAGCCTGACTTATGATGTTTGAACCAGAATGCGGTTTGTGAACATGTTTTTGCGGTTCTGGTTTAGTATCTTGCATTTTTGACCTAGTTACACTCGAAAAATAATGAAGCCATGACGGCTGGAAAAGGAAGCAAATTTAGGGCAAATGCTGTCCAATTTTCTAGGCCGTTTAGTCTCTTTAGATTTGAGTTGCCTTTTGAAAGTCATATTTTATTCTTTTGTACTAGTACTTACCATGGAAAGGCGTACGATGCGTAGTCGAGCCTCACTGGTGCATTCCGTTTACTCGATTTTAAATGTGAAACCTTCAATTGGTTTACTTTGATTATTTTAGGGTTTCTTGGCGATTAAAGCCAATCTGAAGTGAAAACTTTTGAAGTATCTGTACTTGAACGGGTGAGTGTACCACTCCCCTCACTTGTTGTTTAACTCGGTTTCTGTACATGCAATCTGTGATAAGAATGTCTGAACTATCGGCTTATTTTGTTGGAGACGAGGGTGTACTTTATCACACTCGTTCTCTTGTCTGTTCATATGCCAATTTTGGTGCGAATCTGTATCTGTTATCTGTATCTGTATCTGTTATCTGTATCTGTATCTGTATCTGTTCTGATGTCGTTTGGAAATTGGTATCCAACGACCTTTCTGTGACCTCTGAGCTCAACACCTGTGGCTAGTTACTCGAGTCGGGCCGGCAAGGGCCTGGTCGATTAGATAACGAACCACGGTAGTCTGTTTTGGGATCTTTGGGTATTGAGACCCTTGATTCCGGTATACTCGAGTATTACCATTTCTGAACTGATTGGAGTTCGAGCCCGGTAGGGGTATGTGAGGTGGAAGGAATCGGAGAAAGTGGAGTCTACGGTATTGGTTACTCCTTTAGCGTTGACGGAGTGTCAACTATTATTTCGATCAAGCTTCGGTGAAGCACATGGGAATTTGGCTCCTGAGAGCCACCTGTATCCTTCCTATTTGAATCATTGGTTCTAACTACTTTACTTTACATCTGACATGTGTACCTGATTTGTTAAATGTGAAATGCCATGATTTTACTGCTATATGTCTGGTACCTCATTGAGCGCAAGCTCACCCCTTTCTGTTACCTTTGTTTTCCTTACAGGGATTTTGGAACTGTGATTTTGAAGCCGAGTTGAACTCGTTTAATATACTTTTGTATAGCTCCTCAATGGTTGGAAACCCTAATTGTACTTGTTCTTTTGAAAACGCAGCCCTAATTGTATTTTTGTGTAGTATGAATATCTCGGATTGCACTGTATCTGAATTTGTTCAAGACTCCAATGTAAATATTTGTAGTTTCCGACTGTTCGTTTTCTTTGGATCTTATCGCGCGTACTATGTTGGGTTTGTGTGAATCGACTCCGTAGTTCTGGCGAGAGTTGGGTAGGCGGTCCGCCGAACCCTTTGGTTCGCCTTAGGGGGAGGTGGGGCTGTCACAAATATGCCAAAAAAAAATCTGTTTTTTAAATAAAATAAACTATTAACTTCAAATCCACCTCTAAGCACTAAATACTAGTGGTCACAAAATCTTAGTGTCTTTTAATATATGTATCTCAAGACACTAACTTTTTCATTATACAAACTACATATCTTAAACATTTCGAGGAAGTTTACTATAACTAAAGGTGTCAAAATGGGTGACTTGAGCAGGTTAAAATAGGTAATGGTTATAAGTGAATTAACCTATTTATATTCATTTAATTATATGGGTATAAATGGGTAAGTCAAAAAATAAGTTAGATAATCTATTTACAACTCATTTATTCTAATATTTTACAAACTCATCTAAATTTTTTTGTAAACTAAATTATCAATTTATACCACCCTTTATAGTTTGCACCTATTATTAATTTTAAATATTTACTGATAGAACCCAATAAGTCTAATTACCATTTTTCCAATCCGTGTGCTATGTCGCAAAATTATATACCATTTAATAATTGAACAATAAGAATATTTTTGCTGTGCAATAGGGAAAGTATTTGGAACCATGAAAAAGAGAGATTAAACAATGATTGACCAACTTATGAACTTGAAACTGATACCATGAAAATACAAATGAAAAAAGGGCAAAAAAAAAAATCTCCAAGTGTATAATTATTCTTTATCGTTAAGTTGAAAACTGGCCAACAGATTCTCCCACCTTTCCACTAGGTTCTCCACTTGCTGACGTTTAGTCAAAGGTGATGAAGAAATTAGGATACCATTGCTGAAGACAATTCTAAATAGATGTGATTGTGAAGATAATTTTAAATGGGTTATCCAATGATACTCATTTTTAAATGGATATTATTGGCTAACCCATTTATATCCATATATAAAAACTTAAAATACCCATACTCAACTATTCATGAACGAGTATGGATCAATTTAGCTAAATGCATTTTTGTTTGACACCTATAACTATAAAGGTTGAGATGTCAAAAATTAGAAGTTCTAAATTTAGAATCCCCTTTTCCCTTCATGGTTCTCAACCCTTACTGTTTAAAAAAATAATAGGACAAACAACTTCAAATTCTACGAATACAATTGCTAAAAGAATATGGGTGGCCAAATCTTAGCCTAATAGAGATCGGGCATCAGGCATGTAAGCTTCTACTAGGCCTAGCTTAGGGCCTTAGGTCGACAACTTGGATTTCTCATCCGGACAGCATCAAGCTTTTATGTTCCAGACTCACAGGCCCAATTGATGGTAGAAAGCATAATCACAAGTTTGCAAAGATAGTTTTGATATAAGATGGGCTCCGCGTCAACATCCAGACTACATTCAAGCTTTCTTGTAGTCACTCTACGGACCATGTGTAGAGTTTGGGCAAAATCAACGTAAATTGGACTGGATCCACTACCTTTTTGGGTTGATGACAACTATTAAGAGTAAATTGTACAATTAGAAAGATGATGGCTTTGTCCAAAGGTCTAGTTTATTACTGCAGATTTGTGGTAAAATTCATCTTAAAGTAGAGAGTAGTATTTGCCATGAATTAGACATGATCTTGAAGGTATCATAACTACGTTCATAATAAAATTGTTCAACTGTATGGATTTGTGACAAATACTTTTTGCCAAGAAAATACCATAGCTCCCGATTTCATCACCAAAAATTAGTACAAATATAATTGATGGTTAAAGTACACTATAATACAAAAAAGAATTTTAAATTCTCATTTAAGATTATTTTCTAACTCTTATTTTGATGTAATAAATTTGATAAGTTTGTGTAAGTATGCAGAAAATATAGTGTTTGTCCTTTTCATATTTAGTGTAGAAAACAAGGTGATAAACGAAGTAAATATGAGGACCCGAAAATCTGAAGGTTATTTTCATATTTCTTTTCATGTTAAATTCTTTGCATTCAATGATTTCGTCCCTTATTATGTTTTTCCAATTTATTGCATGTTGCTTTTTTTTTTGGGGTGCAAAGAGGGATAATTGGGTAAACAGGGGGCTAAGTGAGTAAACAAGAGTTATTTGTCCAATGATAAGCCACCATTTGTCAATCATCTACCCAATTCTTGACCCAACAAGCACCCAAGTTCCATTTCACAACAATTCCTCCTTTTCCTTCTTTTCTTGTTTGTAGCTGAAGCTTGAGAGATTCTTGTTCCTTCTTCCTTGTCTTGCAACAGAGAGAGAGAGAGAAAAAACTTTTGTTCCTTTTCCCTTCTTGCAACCAAGAGGGCCCAAATCCAGCCTTTCTTTCCTTGTTTTCTTGTTCCCCTTGTTTCCCTAGAGGAGAGCTGAGAAAGAGTGGAGAAAGCTTGAAAAAATTCTCCTCCTTGAGCTGGAAAATTGAGAAACTTGAGAAGCATAAAAGAGTAGCCCTTACCTCCTTCCATCTTTTCCCAACAAATCAAGAAGAGAAAAGCTCCAACATTCCAAGCTTGTTCCAACCGAGAAATTGAGTGGTGAGTAAGCAGTTTTGTTACTTTTCTAAGTCTTGAAACCGAGGGGGAAACTTGAGGGGAGCTTGAGGGATTTCATCCATGACCAATTTCACAACCAAGGGGAAAGTGCTTGAGAAAGATTGGAGAAACTTTGCTTCATCCTTGTTGTTGCAGCCCCGAGAGAGAGGAAAAGATTGGAGAGCTACCAGCCTTGATTCTTCAATTTCCAACTTCAATTTCTTGCGGAAAAAGAGGTTAAAAGGGCTGTAAATCCTTCCTTCTTCCATGTTTTTTTAAGCTTTAAGGATCTAAGTTGAGGTTGGGCAGAAAAGAGTGAGTTTTGGTGAAGAAAAGTTTCAAATTTTCTTGCTGGAAATTCTGCTTAGCTAATGACAGATTTATTGTGGTAGTTGATGACATATTTTGTGAATTTTTTGGTGAAATGTTTGGCTAAAATAGGTACGCACCAGAAACAGATTTTTGCTAATTGTTTCATTTTATGTTTGATATATTACATGTTATGTATTTAGTATTTTCAAACAAGTTAAAGCTTAGAACTTCAGGTGACAGTCACCTCTGGACAGTTTTAGTAAAATGATAATAACTTAGTGTAAAAAAATCGAATTTGAGTGCCATCAATTGTGTTTGAAACTAGACTCAGAGAGCTTTCTATGGTATAAAATTTGAGCTGTGGTCCATTTATATATGCACCAGAAAATTGGCAATTTTGACTGAAAATTCTGCTCTCCACAAGTAAAAACTGGAATGTTGTAGTAAATTGCGGCTCAATTTGGATCAATTTATGAACTTAATCTCTTTGAGGTGTCTTCGAAAGATTGTTAGTGCTTCGAGTCTAATTTTAATGGGGCAAGTTATATGCTTTTTTGACATTTATAACTCAAGTTATGATTTTTCAAAGGAACGATACTTGCTAAAAAATTCCAGTTTCAAAGGTACTCGAGTGCTACGAATTTCAACTTTCCTTGCTGAAAATTCATGATTTTAAACTCATGATTGTATACTTTGAGATTGATGGATTTCTTTACTAACAACTAATGCTATATGTTTCTTTCTATGCCGGATGTGAAAGATATTATGAGTTTGGTATTTTGAACAAATGAAAAGCTGGATCTTGACAAAAGTTTTGAAAGTGTTTGCTAGGAATTGTGTTTGGCCGAGGGAGAGAAAGAAAGGATTTTTGTGTCTATTTTCAAAATTTGGTGGTGACCTTAGACAAATTTGTTCTATATATTGTATAAGACTTTACTTTCACATATATGTGTGATTTATTAAGCAAACACCAAGTGTTTTAAGTGGAAATAAACTCACCTTTCGAATTCCGTTTCTTGATGGTACACTTCTAGTTTTGGAACCGAGAGAAGGGATGAAATTTTGTCCAATATTCTTCAAATCCCTTGGCCATAATCGATCTCTTTTGCTCCTATACCACTGACAACTATTGATTAATTTGCACGTGATTTTTCCCTTGTTTTGAACACGAAAATCTAGTGATCTTTTGAATGAGTTTTTGGAAGTTGACATGTCTCAAATGTGGTAGTTTGAAATTGTGAACTTTTGATATATTCTTTTGGTTTTAGGACTTGAAAGTGGGCGAGAACGTGAGCCCGGTACTGGAATGTGAAATTCTCATTATATGGGTGAGTGTTCCAATTGCATGTTCCATGCTACTTGTTGATCAAGTATGACTTGTTGCTTGAATTAGCTTATTATTGCATAGGCGAGTATGTACTTTATCGCACTCGACCTAACTTTACTAAATAATGCTTAATGTGCCTAGTTGATTGATACCGCTTTATGTCTTGAATTGTAAATGCTTGAACTGCAAATGAATAGGCAAGTGTATATTTTATCGCACTCGACCTAATTTAACTGAACTCTTGATATCCTATTTATAAGTGAACTGTTTGCAAGTGAACTGATATACATGTGCATGACTTGAAAGTCGGTTGGAGATGTTATCTTATCGACTATACTCACCGCTTTGGATCCCAAACCCCACTAGCTAGTTAGTCAAATCGAACCAATAAGGGCTTGGTCAAGGAGATTGACGAACCATGGGTACTGTTTACTGTTATTCCACTGGATTGGATTCACTGAATTTGGTATACTCGAATATTACTTCTACTGTTATGTTTGGAGTTCAGGCCCAGTAAAAGGTTGAACGGCGGATGGAAATTAGAGATAAGTGGTACTCTATTGGACTTGTTACTATATTCCTAAGGTTGATAAAGTGTCAACGGATCCTAAACAAGTTTCTACTGAATTGGCTCGCAAGAGCATATTGCTGCTACTGAATTGGCTCGTAAGATTAGACTGAATTGGCTCGCAAGAGCAAACTGTATCCTTTTACGTGAATATGTTATTGAATATATATTATTAAATGATTTATCTGGATATTGCTTGCTTCATGAAATATGTGATCATGCCATGATGTGAATTTTATAAAGCCTAATAGATGGTTTGTTGTTTTCTTAGAACCTCACTAGGCTTTTAATTCATCTCGTTATTTGTTTTCCTTAACAGGGTGCGGGGATAAGAGAGACAAGAATAGTAATGGTTTGTAATAGAGTATCTTGAGTTTGTATTTGGCCGACACTGTATTATGGTACTAATCGTTTAAGTTCTTTTCCTTTGGTTTGTACTTTGGATTGAATATTTGGACTATTTATAGCATGTAAATGTTATATTGAAGGATTTTAGTGTTATTGATTTGAAAATGTTAGTGAGTGAGTCTTGCCGAGAGTTGGACAGGTAATCCACCAAATCCTTGGGTACGCCTTAGGAAGAGGCGAGGTCATCACAGTAAAATTAAACAAGAAAAGCTTGACATATTGGTTTTTGTTAGGATAATTTATTATAGCCTGTATATCTCTACTTAATTGTTTTTGATAACATTGAACTCTTAGATCAACATTTGATTTTAAGATCTAACCTGGCTTTCTCTCAGTCACTAGGTCATTTTTCAAATTATTTTTGGAAAGTTTTTGAAAAATGTATTTTGTGATAAAAATTAACTTTCTATGTGTTTTCTAGTGTCAGAGATTTGTTTCTGGATTTCTATGATGGCCAAATGATATTCTAAACAAGTTAAAGATAGTTCCTTAATGAAAAGATTCTAACTGATTTCTTTTGAAATTTAAGTCCTTACTTTTTAGAGTCAACTCCAGATTTAGTTTCTTATCTTATGAAAGAATCTAATTGATTGATTCTAAATTTAAAACATTCCGTTAAGTTTTCTTTATGTCTTGATTCATTCTTTGACTTGAAGCAATATCCTTTTTTAACCAATCTACCACAAAGCTAGTGATACTTCCAATCACTAGTTTGTTCAAAAACTAATTTTTATAAAATGATATCCCAAATAGGTCAATCTAGAGCAGGAATGAATAGGTTGAAATGCTAACTATGGTAGCCTTTTAGATAGTTTTTCAGATAAGGGCTTGTTTGGAGTTGTAGTAACTTATTGAAAAGTGCTTTCCTAATAGATACTTTAATAAAAAGTACTTATTAACTGCTTAAGTGCTTTTAAATATATTGTTTGGAAACATAGTTCTATAAGTACTTATTGTATTGGATAATGTGTAATTTAAAAATCTTTAAAAGTGTTTATCTCTTTATTTGGTTATAAAATGATTAAATTTGATGTTTTATTTTTTAAATCATAAAAGCTACTCTAAAAGCACCAAATTTGAGTTTTTGCTAAAAGTGCTTTTAATACTAAAAACTCTACTCCTAATTTTATGGGATGATATTCATCAAACATGTTAAAAGTACTTTTGCGTTTAAAAGTGTTTTTTTTTTTAATCAAAAACACTGTAACCCCAAACGGGGCCTAAGCATTCTTTTTACGTCAATTCATATTCACATTTCGGTAGCTGGATAGTCCTCCTCCCAAAGGGGTCTTTGATATGCTTGAGGAGTGTTTGTAAATTTTCTTTGGGTATCAACTGAGGAGGGTTCAAACTAGAAGTGGCAAAATGGATACATATGATTGATAAATGGTTTTAGTTAAATGAATAGTGGATTAAATTGATCCAATCCTGTTAAAATCAATTAATAAATGAATCTAAATAGAAGCCATTTAAATGGGTGGTGTAAAACTATGATCAGCCATTTATCCATTCACTCTCCCAAGTCCTAAATTTAACATCCAAATATTTTTTTCCCAGAAAATTAAGATTCCGAGAGTTCTATGTTTAAATCAACTAAAAACCTTTGGGTAAAAGTACTATCAAATGCTTGTGCTTGTACTCTATTTCAATTGTTTGTAAAGTATATTCAAATTATTATCTCCAAGAAAATCTACCTACTATGGTCAGTTTAGCCTTTCATCATTACTTTAAATATCATCCTATAAAGTAATGAACAATTAAAAACTTGACCCCATTATTATAACTTTTGGGTGAATGAATACAACTTTACAGTGAAAAGAAGTGAAACTTTTAAGAAGCTATAACGTTTTAGAAAAGCTTTAAGTTGAATTAATAGTTTCTTATCATACGCTATTTACCTTGATTCTAACATTATAACCTAGTCGAACGGAGAGTTTCTTATCCATTCTATGCCTTGATTCTAAGAATAGCTGGCATCAATCTTTCTTTAAAATTTTGAAAGAGTGAAACCATATTTGGGAAAGTATGTAAATACAAGAGGTACTCAATATGAGTATATGTATTTACTTGACAAATTAGATGTCTTTTTTTTTTTTTAAGGGATGGGTGGTAAAGTAAGAGGGATTGTAAGTGGGAGATCCCAAATTCAAGACCTTCCACTTACAAAAAAAAAAGGTGTCATTATGTATCTTAATCATTGTTGTGGTGACACTTGTTAGAAAATTCCTTCATATAAATAAAGAATAAAAAAAATTACTTTGATACTATATGTTGCATTATCGCTTCTTTCTTACTTAAGAATGAGTAAATTTGCAGCCATTACTATATAAGACTTTAAAAAAAGAAAAGAAAAGAAAAGAAAACGAGGAGAGACTAAAATATAATTTTGAAAAAGGTCGAAGAAGTCTAGAAACTGGAAACGAAGAAAATGCAATCAACGCTATTGGTAACTTAACGTATGAGGAAGCTATGAAAGAAAGAATAGGTGGTCCCACAAAATTCCATTCCACTTTTCTATAATATTTGCAATTACAATGTGTGTTTTCCCTTTTTTAAATTAAGTGGATATCTATGAATGCCATAGATAATCCATTTGAATCCACCAACATAATTGGGTTTAGATGATTTTCATTTAAAATTATTGAATTTATATGGATCATTCAAATTCATTTAAGGTTGGTTTATATGGATGGATTGGTGGATATGGATTCGTTTTGCCACTTCTAGTTCAAACTATCATTTCATTGGATTATTTGGTCTCTAATTTATGTTTCTTGAGAGATGAAAAAGGGGCTTCGGTCTAAGCAATGGAGGATGTTTTTAGAGCATTCTTAGTTAATCTTTGGTGCAATTTTCAACTTAAAAGTTCCTTGTGGGAAGATTTCATGAATTACTTAGTTGTTTATCTTGTGATGTACATCTTTCACATGTTTATTCACTCGTAGAGTCAGATGCTTCAGGTTAGAGAGTTACTAATGGAACCTCAGAAAATATTAACCAAATAATTCACACAAACTATGATTAAAAGAGTCGAAACAATTGGAGACTAATTGATAATCTGGAAAAACAAGGAGCAAAGAAGAAGATTAAAGATTTCTCGAGGCCGTAGCACTCAACTGACGTAAAGTAGCAGGCAGACAAAATTATATTTATCAAACTCTTATTGACTTCTCCTTACATCAAACAATGAACCAGAGGGTCTTTATATAAATCAACTACTAACAAAATCCTATTGGGCTACCAAAACATACTAATAATCGGAAACCATAATAAAACAATAAAATAAGTAGTTTCCCAAAGAAATAAATTAATCCTAAAAAGACTTCGTTAAAATTTCTACATTGCATCTCTTAAACTAGTGTCTTCAAACGTTAACATGCCAAGGATGTTCTTCAACTTAAGAAATAGCTCCAGCTTTGACGGTGTCGTGAAAATATCTGCCACTTGATATTCACTCTTGCAATAGTCAATAGCAATCTCCTGATCTTGAACTAGTTCACAAATGAAGTAAAACTTGATGTGAACGTGCTTGCTCCATCCATGGAATACCAGATTCTTTGACAACTTAATAGTAGACTTGCTATCACGATAAATTTTGGTAGGACAAACTCATTCATGCCATAGAAAACCAAGCATTCTTCTCAACCATAATACTTGAGTAGTACTATGTGCAGCTGTCATATATTCTGCTTCGAGGATAATGCCACCACCTGTTGCATGTTAGAGGACTGCAAAAATACACCATTGCCTGGATAAAAGGCATAACCTGATGTATGCCTCCTTTGAATCATGTCACCAACCCAATCACTATTAGTAAAGCTAACAAGACTAGAATTATCAGCATATAGATAAAAGATACCATCAGATCGTGTACCTCTAATGTATCTCAAAATTCTCTTTGCCAATGTGATTGGCGTGCAAACTCTATAAAGCTACTAATCAACCCAACCCCAAAAATGGCGTCAAGCCTTGTTGAAGTAAAGTATTTAAGACTTCCTACCACTCTCCTAAAATTATTGGCATCAACAAATTCAACACTGTCATCCTTCATCAACTTAACTTCTTTTCAATTGGAAATACAAGCTTAGCTGAATCTATTTTAAACCTCTTTAATATTTCATTTGCATACTTCTTTTGTGTAATAAATATTCCACCATCTATTTGAGAAACCTCAATGCCAAGAAATATGACATTAATCCTAAATTAGTTGTCTCAAAGTAAATAACCATAACCTCCCTGAACTTAGAAATTACTTTAGGATTATTGTGAGTAAAAATTAGATCATTCACATATAAGTATATAATAAGAATATCACCACTAGGATTGAATTTGATATATAAAGTATGCTCATATGGACATCTTTGAATTCTATTCTCTATAAAGCAGAATTAATTTGAACATACCAAGTTCGAGGAGTTTGTTTAAAATCATACAAAGTCTTCTTTAACCTGTGGATTTTATTTTCTTGGCTTTCTTTCACATAACCTGTAGGTTGCTCAACATAAACTTCTTCCTTAAAAATAACATTCAAGAAAGTGGACTTCACATCCATTTGATAAATCTTTCACGAATTATTGGCAGCAATAGATATTATCATACAAACAGTATCAATTCTGGTGACAGTGGCAAAAACTTTAAAATAATCAGTACTAGCCTTTTGCTTATACCCTTTAACAATTAACCTCATCTTATAACGATCCACTTCTCCATTTGGCTTATACTTGGTCATATAATACTTGGTCATATAGGTCCATTTGATACTAATTGGTTTCCTCCTAGGTAGAAGAGTAGTTAGCTTCAATGTCTTATTTTTCTTAATTGCATGGATCTCTTCATCCATTGCTTGATTCCAATGATCATTTTTGACATCCTCCTCAAATGTAATTGGATCATAATCTATAAATAAAGCAAAATTTATAACATCTCCATCGGACAGATTATTATCATCACCAATAGTATAATCATTCAAGTGAACTGCCATGTGACATTCTCGTTGTGGACGAATGGATAATTGTACAAGGATTGACTGCATCCCAGAATATGAAGGATCTCTAGTAAATTGTCTGGATTGCTCTATTT